GGGTTTTTGCTGCCCCAAGTGGCGAAAAAAAAAAAAAGCCGCTATCGCAATTGCAATCGGCGGCACTCCGGCAGCAGCTCCACCGCGCCGCTTTCTTCTTCGGTGGGAATTCGGTGGCAGGTGCTTCCCTCCAAGAGGGACCCGCCTCCAAATTGCCGCCGAACAGCCCGATGTGCAGCCCCTTTCCCTTGGCCGCCCCAAGCACCTGCTTGCTGGGCTGGTGCCTGGAGCCGGCCCTGCCTTAGAGCCACAAGTACTCCTGTTCTTTTTGCGGATACAGACTAACACTGCTGCTACTCTGAAACCTGTTAATATGATATCGGTTGGCATGTATCATAAGGTATACATTAAAATATTTTAACGTAGAATGGAGTAGCTTTTTGTGTGGTGAAGCTGCTGTCCTTCTACTCTGCAGAATATTAAAATGTAGGATATCTTGTTCCTTGCTATTTGCAGTCACAGGCATGTGTGGACGTATGGCACAAACACTCACATCACATTCTCTTTGTCCTACCCTACTGCTTCACTCTTTTTTCACTATGTGAGGATTCTAGTGTGTTAGCCATTGTCCATATACTAAGACCTTTCATTGCGATAAAACAGTTGTATACAACTGTAAGAGACAGAATCTCACTTTCCATTCCTGCATATAGAGTCCTATTGATTCTGAGTCTGTGAGATCATACCCAAGTATAATTACACTGCTCTACAGCCAAAATGCTTCTGAAATAAATGTAGTCAAACTTTAGTAATTCTGGGTCACTGAGAACGAAAACGATGCTTAAAATTGTTGATTGGCTCTAGTTTTCAAGATATGCTATTGGGTCAGTATATACGACCCTTGACTTGGGAATGGTGGAGGATAAGTGAGTTATAAAGGGAAGGGATCTCAATTTAAACAAGAAATGACTAAAATACATCTTTGACTGGATCTATGAATAAATCTATGACTGGGTTTGGACAGTACTTGCTTTTTAGGCAAAACAATGAATGATGCAATCTGAAGCTGGTATTGCATCATACATGATATCAATTGCATCATGTTATTCCTAGAAGTCATGGATGATGCAATCATAACGAAGCTTACATCACTCTGCTGAACAAATTGCCCTATATCAGCTCTAGAAATCATACAGTGTCGTGCTCTCTTATTTGTCAGTGTTTGATTTTGCAAAGGGACACATTTCTGTTTAGCCAAAGTGAGCAGAGATGCCTCGTACTTGTGTGAACAGTGCAGATAACTTCTGCTATGTTTGTGGTGAAGTGACTTTTGCATCACAAAAGCGCAGTATAACCACTATGGTTAAGAAAGCCTGTCACCTTTATTTTGGCTGCAAAATTGGAGATCAGGACAAGAGGTGGGCCCCACACATATGCTGCAACATTTGTGCAACAAATCTTCGCCAGTGGTTGAACAGGAAAAGGAAATCTATGCCTTTTGCAGTGCCAATGATTTGGAGAGAGCCAACAGATCATACCAGCAATTGTTACTTCTGCATGGTGCCTCCAGTTGGGAACGGTGTGTCAAAGAAGAAAAAGTGGACTGTGCATTATCCAAACATTCCATCAGCTATACGCCCAGTACCCCACGGAGAAGGACTGCCGGTTCCTGATGCACCAGAATCATTCTCACTTGAGTCAGACGAGGAAGAGGAAGAGGATGAAACTTCTGGTCCTGAACCATCAATGTCACAGGACCCACATTTTCTCCCATCCTCCTCCTCTGAACCACACCTCATAACACAAGGTGAACTGAATGACCTTGTCAGGGATTTGGAACTACCCAAGAGTAAGGCAGAGCTGTTGGGCTCCAGACTACAGCAGTGGAATCTCCTGGCAGGTGATGTTAGGGTTTCCATGTTCTGTGACCGTCCAAAGGATCTTGTCCCATTCTTCTTCATGGAAGGTGATCTTGTAGCCTGCAACAACATCGATGGTGTGATGGCAGCCCTCAACATCGTTCACGATCCAGATGAGTGGAGACTGTTCATTGATTCATTGAAGACGAGTCTTAAAGCTGTTTTACTGCATAATGGCAATGTTTTGCCATCAATTCCAGTTGGTCATGCAGTCCATCTGAAGGAAACCTATGACAACATGAAACAACTTTTGAGGTGCATAAACTATGACCAACATCAGTGGCAGCTTTGTGGCGATTTGAAGGTTGTTGCTCTCTTGCTTGGTCTGCAGACTGGATACACAAAGTACTGCTGTTTTCTCTGCGAATGGGATAGTTGTGCAAGAGATTCCCACTACATCAAGAAAGATTGGCCACTCTGACAGTCACTGGAGCCTGGGAGGAAAAGTGTTCAGCATCCACCATTTGTTGAATCAAGGAAGATTTTGTTACCACCCTTACACATCAAGCTGGGTCTGATGAAGAACTTTGTCAAGGCCATTGACAAAACACAAGCAGCTTTCAAGTACCTCCGTGGAAAATTTCCAAGGTTAAGTGAAGCTAAGATAAAGGAAGGTGTCTTTGTTGGGCCTCAGATTCGTGAACTTCTTCGAGATGATGCATTTGACCATTCACTGCGTGGCAAGGAAAAGACGGCATGGAAAGCCTTCCAGTTAGTGGCAATAAATTTTCTCGGAAACAAGAAGGCAGACAACTACAGGTTGTTGGTGGAAAACCTCCTCAAGGCATACAAAAGCCTTGGTTGCAACATGTCACTAAAGATACATTTTTTGCACTCTCATCTAGATTTTTTTCCACCGAACTGCGGAGCAGTGAGCGACGAGCACGGCGAGCGATTTCACCAGGACATTGCAACAATGGAGAAACGCTATCAGGGCAAATGGAGCCCATCAATGCTTGCAGACTATTGCTGGACAGTGACAAGAGATGCTCCATTTAATGAACACAAGAGACAAGCCAAGAAGCGCCGAGTAGACACTGAATAGGACTAAACTATGTACAGAATAGTTTTTTGCCTTTTGTTTCATAATAAATTTTATTTATATAACCCTTTTGCTGATTTTTAAAGTGTTACATAAACAGGACAGGTGAAATATTATCATGTAAAGCAACCATAAACACATGAAAAGACCTAGGTTTACAATTTATGATTAAAACTCTACTATCTACACAATATACATAGACATAAAATGTAAAAACTTAAATATCTTAGAAACAGTAGCCAATCAGTTGTTTTAATTGTCATATTTGAATTCAGCACATCAAAATACATAATAAATAGCACATTTTATCTCTGAAGCAGATGACTTCTCAAAAATTGTAGACCAGTGTTATCTGACCTAAAATAATTAGAAGAACACTATACCTGCCTACTTACAGAATATGATTTTCAAAACTTTACATCACTGTAGGAAATAATACTGATACCCAGTAGTGTTAGAAAGAAACTAGTGTATATATAATCAACTTTGTGACAAAAGCTCAAGTCACAGTTTAATAAGCAGGCATGGTACCTGCTGCTGAATGTGAGTTAAGTAAACACATCTATCAAGTCTGCAGATCAATTTAGTGTAGCTCCTTCTGATTTTCAGTGTAGGACAGTATATTTCAGTGTGCTAAAAGCATTTGAGCCTCGTACAATGCCAGCAAGCATCACAAATGTACAGAGTAAATTTCCAAAGCTTAAAATCAGTACAATGGGTCAGATTCATTCCTGCTGTAACTCCACTGAATATAACCTCAAAATCTGCTCAACTTACTCTCCTGAACACAGTATCCAGTGGTTTTACTTCAGAAATGAATCTAGCTCTTTCTGTTTACAGCCACTAGGCCTAGTGCCATTAAGTGTCTCCTCTCAGGAGTTGAGTGCCGTCAGATTCCACTGGGAATTGCAGACTTGAGCTGTCTGTGATGATGAACGAATAAAGACCAGAAGGCTGTTTGTTCGTTCATTCCAAGCCTTTAGCACCTCCAACCTGCTTAGAAACAAGAAGTGTGATGAATATTATATAACTCTCAACTGGCTGCAGACTGTGTGTCATTTATGATGCTTGCAATATGGCAAAATAGCAGAGTGCTTGAGGGAAGTGGCAGTATTTATATCTGTCACCTGGCTGATGTACTGTGAAGATCATCACAGGACTGTGAAAAATAGGCTTGCAATTTAAGGTTTGGGAGTGAGATGTGGGGTTTTGGGAGGCTGTCTTATGGGGGGCATTTATTTGGGGCTTGAGCCACGGGGTAGGTTTATTTGGGAAGATGGGGGTTGGGATGGTGGGGAGATGAGTGGGGGGCTGTGGCAGGAGGAGGTTTTGTGGGGTTTGGTTTTATTTATGGGATGGGGCTATGTTGTGTTTATTTGGAGACAGGGTTGCAGGGAGATGGAGGGGTTTAAGCAGGAGCTGGGAGGGTTGGATGGGCGCTGTGGGAGGGACAGGTTGGATGGCTATGGCAGAGGCAGATTGAGTGGGGAGCTGTGGGAGGAAGGATATTTAGGGGAAGGGGGTGGTATGTGTGTGTATATGAACGCAGGTTGCTGTGTGGCAATGTGGGTGGCCACAGCTGGCTATGGTTGTCTTTGGCTCGCTCCCTCCTCCTCAGGTTCCCCTCTCTTCTCCCCTCTGCTCTCCTCCCTCCACCTTGCTTGCTCCCTCCCGCTCTTGCAGGCACCAGCCCCAGCTCTGCTCATTGGCACTGGGGAGGGATGGACTCGCCGCTGCCACACCAGGGCATTAAAGAATGAGATGAGCTCAGATAATATGGTAATAAGGGCCATAGAAGTATCCAAGATAGTCCTGTTAGTGAATACAGAGTTATCAAAGAGGAGGATATTTGCCTGCTGCAAAATGTGGTTTGTAATTATGTCCTTGTTGCCATGAGACAAGTGTTGTTACTGGAGGAGCTTTGTCACAGAGTACTTGAGCTCAACTAGTGTAGTAAGAAGTATTGGGCTTATGCAGACAAATAACTAAAGGTGAACCAATATTCTGGACATTAATCTTCATCTTTTACTTGGAGAAAGTGTGCATGTGTATCTTTACAAATGTGATATTTATGACTGGTATGGCCCTTTTGCTTACAGAATGGACTCAATGCCCTACACCTGGCTGCCAAAGAAGGCCATGTGGGACTGGTACAGGAGTTACTGGAAAGAGGGTCAGCAGTGGATTCAGCTACTAAGGTAATATGTGCATGTTTATATAGTTTATTTACAGAACAAAGAGATGAAAGAACTAGAAGTAGATATTTTCCCTTGTTATACAATGGGCAGTGCAAATACTCAGGAAATTTGCAAAAAACTGCAATATAAGAATATAATATTAAGATAAATACCTCTTTGGTAAAATATAAGGTGTTAATTTCTTCCTAAACCACAGGACCAGATCTTCCGCGGGTGCAAATCAGTTTACCTTCATTGACTTCAATTTATGAGTTTGATACAGAAATTATAGGGTTGAAATTATGTGGCCTGTGTTATACAGGAGGTCAGGCTAGTGATCACAATGGTCTCTTCTGGCATTAAAATCTGTGAATCTATGAATCAGCTGAGGCTCTAGGTTGTAAATGAAGATGGGGACTGAGAAGTATGTGTATAGTGGGAGCCCTTAAAGTTTCACTATTATGAAAAGAATTACCCTTTCTAGTGGCATTTTTCATTAGAGAGACAAAGAATATAGCTGACCAATAGTAGACTATATCAGAATAGTGAAAATGTGTAAGTGTAACTGTCAAGGCTGTATCCCCACTTTGAACTTTAGGGTTCAAATGTAGGGGCCTGCATGAAAACTTCTAAGCTTATCTACCAGCTTAGCTTTGGTCCGCTGCCACCATCACAAGAATTCCCTCCCTGGGAAGCCTTGAGAAACCTTTCACCAATTCCCTGGTGAACACAGACCCAAACCCCCTTGGATCTTAAAACAAGGAGAAATTAACCATCCCCCCTCCTTCCTCCCACCCTCCTTTCACCAACTCCTGGTGAATACAGATCCAAACCCCCTTGGATCTTAAAACAAGGAGAAATCAATCTGGTTCTTAAAAAAGAAGGCTTTTAATTAAAGAAAAAGGTAAAAATCATCTCTGTAAAATCAGTATGGAAAATAGCTTACAGGGTAATCAAACTTAAAGAGCTCAGAGGACCCCCCTCTGTCTTAGGTTCAAAGTACAGCAAACAAAGATACACACTCTGGTAAAAAGGTACATTTACAAGTTGAGAAAACAAAGTAAATCTAAGACGCCTTGCCTGTCTTTTACTTACTAGTTTGAAATAGGAGAGACTTGTTTAGAAAGATGGGGAGAACCTGGATTGATGTCTGGTCCCTCTCAGTCCCAAGAGCGAACCACCCCTTAAAACAAAGAGCACACACAAAAGCCTTTCCCTCCCCAAGATTTGAAAGTATCTTGTCTCCTTATTGGTCCTTGGGGTCAGGTGTCAGCCAGGTTACCCGAGCTTCTTAACCCTTTACAGGTAAAAGGATTTGGAGTCTCTGTACACAGAGAGCTGTTACCCTTCCCTTAATAGTTATGACAGTAACATATACAGGTCCCTATGTACGCTGCATTACAATGGAACCACGTTCTGCAGCAATAACTTCTATAGTATAATTCATCAATGATTATTCTCAGTAATGACTAAGGAAGGGTTTTCAGCTGTGCTCTGTAGATAGCCGAGCTGTATGGCCCTCAGCATACGTTGTTGTCTAGGTGGTCTGGAACAGAATCTCTTTTCCCTACCCAGTGCATGCCACAGAATGGGGGACATTGTAGTCAACTTCAGCAGTTCATTTTCTCAGTTCTCAGGAGCTGCTCTATTCTCTAAGAATCCTAGCTGACCAGCTTGCACATCTGATTACACCTGCTCCTTTTCTGCAAGCTGTACTCTAGCCCTGGCTCCCTGACCCCTTTCCTACCTGGTTCTATAGAACAGTGAGGGAAGGATACACTGTAATCCCAGTAACTCCCCTGCAAGCAGGTCCTAGCAGGACAAAGGGAAGGTAAACAGTGCTGAGCACCTGACTGCAGCACAATAATCCATTCTGCAGCAATAATGGTGAATTCTGTGGATTCTTGGGAAAAATGGCCATTTCCATAACTGTACAATAACAGAGTTGATGGGGCCCTGAGTGAGATGAATGGGGAAGATCCCTCCTCTCAGAGCCGTTGTTTCTGGCTCTTTGCAGACTCAGATGGGCATTGATTATGCTCGGTTCATATTTCCATGGTTATCTTTGCAACTATTAGGGCTAGAAATTTAATTGAAAAAAAAATAGCTGAAATTCTGGAGCATTGTTCTGCAGCAAAAAGTGAATTCTCTGGCACTGCAAATTATGGAGATAAGTGAATAACCATGTTACACTATATTTTGGCTGTTGAGTTCTGACGTACGGGGTAATGTTTCTAGAATCTTCATCACAATAAGTCTAGGCCCTCACTCCAAACTGCTTCTCCCCACCCCTGTGGTCACCTCATTGATGGAGACCTAAGGATTCCCTCATTTTACCTTTCTTTAACCCACCCCTCTGACTATGAGCCTTACATTGAACCATGTTTTTTCTAGCCTAGATGGGACTCTTTTAAGAGTACATTAGCACATAATTGTTCAGCGAAATGTCTGTTAGATGTGGGATACTGCCTCCCCCAGGAACACCTTGGCTCAGAGTGGGGCTGGGAATGAAATGCAAATCTCCAGCAAACCTCTACTGCTCTAGCCATTTATGTTCGATTGGAGAGAAATGGATTCTCCAGGAAGCCCCCATTGCACTCCCTCCCCCCACCCCCAACATCAACCCTGCCTTCAGCTGAGAAGGGCTGTCTCCAGTGCCATTAATGCCAGTGGGAGTCCCTTGAGGAAAATATGAAGTGCTTCCTCCCCACTCTGCCTGCTGCCTCCACCCATCTTCCAGCCCTGGTTACAGTCAAGTAATCACGTTCTTTCCTATGCACACTTTACTAAGTGCCAACAAGTAGAAAACAGAGTAAATTCTCTTCTCATTATTTTCATGTTTAGGTGGTTTTTGTCTCTGGTAACCTGGTTCTTTCAGCAAAGTACTCAGTATTCAGACTGTTCTTTCAGCCATGTACAAGGAGATCTCACCTTATTGAGTCATTTGGGGTGATTTAGAAAGCTCCTAGATCTCTGCTTTCCCTTTTGGAGAGCACATCCACTGAGCTGAAGGAAAAACCTATCTACTCTAGTTCTTTGTCAAACATCAAATAAACCAGCAATTTGTTCTATGCACCAGCCAACCCCTTTTCCAGAACTCCACCCAAAAGGTTATAAGAATATATCCTGGGGAGTTAACATGACAAAATCCCTTTGGAATGCCCTTTGGTGGCATATCCCAGCTCTGTCCCATGCAATGTCCACAATGCTGTGTACACTAAAAAGTAGAACAGTGTCCTATGAAGTAATGCATGGAAGTAGTATTGTGTTCTGAATGTCATAATGATTGTTAATGAGGGATCATTTCTTTTACATAACAGAAAGGGAATACAGCCCTACACATTGCATCCTTGGCCGGACAGGCTGAAGTTGTCAAAGTTCTGGTTAAGGAAGGAGCCAATATTAATGCACAATCTCAGGTAAGGTGATGTTTTCCCTCTATTGTAAGTATAATTTGGTGAAGTTTTGTAAAACAAACTTAAGGCAATAGGCAGGCACAATGCATGCTTCCCCTGCACCTAATCCTGACAAATCAACCCAGCCTTGACCTGTGTCATAGATGGTATTGCTTAGTATGTGACTATGAGTATAAGTACCCAACTGCATAGAATGAAGTTGTGTGTTGGTTATGTGATGCATAAACTAGGATTGTTGTTGACTGAGATCACCAAGGAGAATTTTTCCTGTGTGTTCTAGCAAATCAGGAGCCTCAAATAATCCCACTATGCTAAGATGTTTTAAAATAATGTTTGTCTTAAATCCTCACCCTGTCAAGCTGCCTGGAATGGCTCACGAGCAAGAGTACCCACCTCAGGGAATACTGTGAAGACGCAGGGCACAAACCCCAAACTGGTTGTGAGTTCTATACTTAGATTTCACCAACCAAAAATCAAGTGTGAACCCCTCAAGCACTATAACAGCCTTAACATGGACTCACAGACAGTCCCCTGGGGTACTCCAATCTATCTTGCTACACAGGTTAGCTTGCCTTTGTGATAGATGGTCCCTAACACCAAAAATCACAACAATGTTCAAGCTAGTCCCAGTCCCAAGGGACCAGTCACTTACCCCAGATAAATTGCACCTTAGATCCTACACTAAAGACAATGCTTTTAGCCAGTCCTATAATAAATTAAATAAAGTTTTAATAACTAAGAAAAAGAAATTAGTTATTTATAAGGTTAAAGCAGGTAAACATACACACACAAATGGGTTACGGTCTTAGATTCTAAAAGGTAATAGAAGCTGCTATAATATGAAAGCTCTGTATGTCTTCTAGGGCTAAAGCAGACTAAGCAGCCAGGGATCCCTTGTTTATGCTTGGAAATATTTGCCCCTCAGAGTCCAGGTAGCATAAAGAAACCTAGTTCCTTCTTGTCCAGGATTTTTATTCCCTTTCCCCAGAGTTCAAGCTGATGGGATCTCCTTTTCATGGGTGTATGGGTGGGTGCAATCAACAAAGGCTTTTGTCCTCTGGTGTTCCACAGTGGCTTATCTGGGCCTTCTTTTGTTGGGCAGGAGATGACATCTCTTATGGAAAACTAGTATTTCACACGTGGTAATGCTTTTCTCACGATTGTGGGTTTCATAGCAAACACTTAAATATTACCTTATAACATGGGATACAGATATTACAAGTGAGATTAATGCATGCAGCAACTCACAAGCATTTCATAAAGTCTGAACACAGTCCTATAACTCTAATATATATATTAACAATACTAACACACAGGTGAGCCAGACTGGTTTCCAGCTATGCATTTGTCAGTGTTTTCTGAGGCCTAGGGGCCTTGGCGTGACTTGTCATCTGGTCTGCCAGCATCACAACTCCAACACTTGCTTTTCAGACACAAGGACTAAAAGCATTGCTTTTCATTCTTAACTATTGGTTTAAAAATCTTGTAGATGGATTAGTTTCCGTTATGATAGGTCTCAGTATTCATTCTTCAAATAGTAGGCATTAAATCAAAGATTTGGCATGCGCATTTGATCTGGGGAAATGCACCTTATTTTGGAATGCAATCCAACTGTTAAAAAAAAACCTATTAATCTCTATGGCATGAAGGTTGGCTAATCTTCCAAAATGTACCAAAGAGCATAATGATGTCATTACAGAAACTGACCAATGGCGAAATGCTTGAAGGTACACTTCTCTCCACCTTTCCACAAGGCTGTAGTAGCAACAGCTGTCTCATTACTGCTATTTCAGACTTGTAAACAACATGTGTTAGGTTCTCAGTAGAAAAGAACAGACTGCAAGCCATATAGATGGTTTGTTTTCAGAGCTAAGAACCTCCACCCCCACAAACAGATACACCTAATGGTTATCGTTGTTGTTGTTGTTTTTTTAGCAATTTGCCAAGTTATCACAACACAATATTTCAGATACCGGAATCGTTTGGAATCCTAAACACAGGGAAATAATGAATATCTCAGACAGCATTGTTTGGTATGTGTTGGTAAATGCTACTCTTTAACGAAGACAATTGTGCATAAACATGCATAATTGAGGGGGGGCAGTTGGAAAGTGATCTATTATATGTTGAAGAATCTGGTATCTTTATGCATAAGATCATTATGCAATGTATAGTGAGCCAGTGGCATTCTCTGAAGTAGGTCATCAAGCTAAATCCTTCTGCTGGATTTAAAATATGGCTGGATCATTTGATGCCCACTGGTAATGTTTGTACAGTAGCTTTGCAAGCTAAGACCATGAGAAAAATGAGTCATACTTCAGAGGGTTCAATTAAAGCCATGTTAAATTCTGCCTTGCTCTTAGTGAACATGGGCTAGATAATGACCCTCACCTCCATTCATTTGTGCTGCACAAGGTGAGGGGGATGGGGACAAAGAAGAGAGAGAGTTGCCTTAACAAAGCAGCTGGGGATTACCAGGTGAGTACCCAGGGGTGAAAGTAACTTACAGGACTTACCGGTACTGCTGGAGTCCTGAGGGGGGGCGTGGCCTCATCCGGAAGAGGCGGGGCCTCTCAAGATTTAAAGGCCCTGGGGCATCGGCTGTGGCTGGGAGCCCCAGGGTCTTCAAATCAACCGGGGGCTCCCAGCTGCAGAGGTGTCTGGGAACCCCCGGGGCTCAGGGGCAAATTAAAGGGCTTGGGACTCCCCGCAGTGGCAGGAACTCCGGGCCCTTTAAATCCCGGCCCCAGCCCAGCAGCCGGGCTCGGGCGTGGATTTAAAGGGCCCAGAGCTCCCGCGGCTGCAGGGAGCCCCGAGCCTTGCCGGGCTGGGGCCGGGATTTAAAGGGCCCGGAGCTCCCGCCGCTGTGGGGAGCCCGGAGCCCTTTAAATCCTGGCCCCAGCCCAGCCGCTGGAGCTGCGGGCGGGATTTAAAGGGCTCTGAGCTCTCCGCCGCAGCGGGGAGCCCAGAGCCCTTTAAATCCCCGCCACGGAAGCCGGTGCAGTCCGGCACGGCATACTGGCTCTTGCCGGTACGCCGTACCGGACCGTACTGGCTTACTTTCACCTCTGTGAGTACCCCAGGAAGCATAAAGCTGGCACAGTTGCCTCTATGCCACATGCTTCCCCTCACTCTAGCACAGGATATGTTTGTGGGCAGGGAGGTGCATAGGTGGTGTCAGTGGATGTGGCCATGTAAATTTTAGGGGTCTGTTGTAGCTAGTGTTAATTAGAGCAGCTCTAAATTATGCCAGGGTCCAACCAGTCCTTGATCTGCTCCAGGATCTTCCCCTGACTACCCAAGTCCTGCACGGAACACAGCTTGATCAGACCTGGAGATCTGCTATTTCATTATGTGTAATACCCTGTCTAATGCAGGAGATTGGAAGCATGCAATGACCAGTGATGCAAGCAGAAGGCAATAGACTAACCAATGTATTTATAAAATGGATAGCTCTGTCCCTACCTTCACAACACTCGCATAAAGATCAGGCGTTTGTTTCTGTTGTTTTCTTCCCAAAAGCTTCTTTGCTAAGGAGCTCTGAGGACAACTGATTATCAGCTAAACTCCATACTTCAATTGCATTTAATTGAATGCGGAGGAATGCTATAATGTTGTTCCTCTAATTCAAGAAATGAACTAGTTGCTTTCACAGAGTCTTAATTGGATAATCATCACACACTTTCATAAACTTTCATAAACTGTTGGTTCTAAAATTAGGATTTCAGCAATGCTAAGAGAGATCAGCGTGAAAATATAATTGTTTTAATAATCAGGAACACTTTTTAATATGAAAAAAATAAATGTGTTTTCTGCCAAATTGGGTAAACATTTTCACAGTAAGCTTAGAACAGCCATTGCAGTTTTATTATTAGCACTGAATGTTCCAGATACTGTATCCAGTCATGCCAACAAGCATTTGCTCCTTGAATTCTGATCCAAATGGAATTGACTTAGAGAATTATGACAGGCAATATGACATACTCTCATCTCTTGCCCACTGAAACCCTTATGTATATGACAGTAGTTTCAATATTCATAATAATGGTGAGAGGGGCTGTTTTACCAAGATATCTGCTGGAAAATCTATCCAACAGTACATTTACCACTGAAGTCAGTCTTCAACTTTGTGGAGGATAGCTCTTAGAGTAAAAGTGAGAACAGCACCAAAGAGATAATGCAACCCTTGACCAGACAAAACTAAGAAAGAGGAAAAGGTAATAAGCAGAAGAGGAATTCACGGGCTAGTGATCATGAATAAGGCTACGTTTTAGTCACAGGTATTTTTAGTAAAATTCATGAACAGGTCACAGGCAATAAACAAAAATTCACAGCCCATGACCTGTCCATGACTTGTACTATTTACCGATAACTAAAATTTGGGCCAGGGCCCCCGGTGCTCGGAGGGGGGCGGTCTGGGTGTACCACGGGTGCTGGGGCGATGGCCCGGGACCCCTGCTGGTGCGGGAGGGCGAGGGGGAGGGAGAGGGTTTGGCAGGGCTGGTAGGCTCCCTACCTGGCTTTGCGTGTCTCTGCAGCTCCTAGCGGGAGGGCAGGCCAGGGGTGCTCTGCGCGCTGCCTCCACTGAGCACTGGTTCTGCAACTCCCATTGGCCAGGAGCCGCAGGCAATGGGAGCTGCAGGGGCAGCGCCCAGAGCCCCCTGGCCCCTCCACCTAGGTCAGGAGTTGCAGGGTCATGTGGGCCGCTTCTGGTGAGCCCCTCCACCTTCCAGGTAAGCACCGCCCTGCACCCCAACCCCCTGCCCCAGCCGTGAGCCCACTCCCATACCCAAACTGCTGCTGTTCCAGGGACTGACCGAGTGTTCGGGAAGCCCCTCAGCCAGCTGCACCGGCTGCTACAAAAGTCACGGAAATCACGTAAAGTCATGGAATCCGTTACCTCTGTGAGAGAAATGCAGCATTAATCATGAACTAATTGGGAGGCTAGTTATCATGAACCAATCAAATCTTCATAGAAAGAAAGTTAATTGCATTAAAAGATT